TCCCACCAGCCCAGGCTGCTCCAGCCCCAGCCAACCTGCCCTTCAACACCCCCAGGGATGGGGCAGCCACAGCTTCCCTGGCCCAGGCTCTCCCCACCCTCCCAGCCAACAAGTTCCTCCTCAGCTCCAACCTCCAGCTCCCCACTGCCACTTTCAAGCCCTTCCCCCTCAGCCCATCCCTCCTGCCCTTGGCCCAAGTCCCTCCCCAGCTTTCCTGGAGCCCCTTCAGGCACTGGAAGCTGCTCTCAGGTCTCCTTGGAACCTGACCCATTGGAGGGAGCTGCAGGTGAGCTCTCCATCCCCAGGAGCTGGGGGTGGCTCCAGGGCTCAGCCCTGCCTGTGCTGTCCCTGCAGGAGATCCCGCAGCAGATGAACGGCAGCGACTGCGGGATGTTCGCCTGCAAATACGCCGACTGCATCACCAAAGACAAGCCCATCAACTTCACCCAGGTAACCCCCCTCCTGGGCCTCTGAAGGCCACGGGGACCTTCTTGGGGGCATCTTCCCAGGTGTCCCCTTTGTCTCCTCCTCTGGGCTTGGAGTGACCCCCCCCAGCCCTCCTGGGGATCATCCCTGGAGCAGAGATGATGGGAAGCGCTGCGGGGGCTCCGTGTGCCTGCAGAGGGGCTGCTCCTCAGAGACTTATGGGTCTCAAACCCATGGTTGTTCTTCATACCCTTCAAAACTGTCCCTTCTCAGTCACTTTTGGGTCTCCTGTTGCTCTCAGACCCCTGTGGTTCCTCTTTTGACCCTGCAGGATTGTCCCTTCTCAGCCATTTTTGGTCTCAAACACATGATGGGTCTTTACACCCTTCAAAATTGTCCTTTCTCAGCTGCTTTTGGGTCTCCTGTTGCTCTCAAACCTGTGATGATTATTTACAACCTGCAGAATTGTCCCTTTTTAGCCATGTTTGGTCTCAAACCTGTGGTGGTTCTTTACACCCTTCAAAATTCCCTCTTCTCAGCCACTTCTGGGTCTCCTGTTGCTCTCAAACCCCTGTGGTTCCTCTTTCCACCTGCAGGATTGTCCCTTCTCAGCCATTTTTGGTCTCAAACACATGATGGTTCTTTACACCCTTCAAAATTCTCCCTTCTCAGCCAGTTTTGGGTCTCCTGTTGTGCTCAGATCCCTTGGGCACCTGCCCTGGTCCAGAGCTCAAACCCTTGATGGGACCTTGTAGCCCCAAATCTCAGGACATTTAAGTGCTCCTCAGCCTTGTCAGGCTCCATGGGACACCAAACCCAGGATGTGATGGTTCCAATGTGTGTGTGTGTTATTAATTCATGCCTATAAAGCCTCCAAGGTGCATCCATGATGCAGGTCCCCAGGGCAGGAGCTGGTGGAGAAATGCAGAGCAGGGTTGTTGTCCACGCCCCAAAGATTTGGGATCTAAATCTAAGAAATGGTTTCAGGAGAAATGGTTGATTTCAGAATGTGTAGGTTTGTGGGAGATTTGGCTGGGAGGGTGGGGAGAGCCTGGGCCAGGGGAGCTGTGGCTGCCCCATCCCTGGGGGTGTTGAAGGGCAGGTTGGCTGGGGCTGGAGCAGCCTGGGCTGGTGGGAGGTGTCCCTGCCCATGCAGGGGGTGGGATCTGGATGCTCCTAAGGTCCCTCCAACCCATTCCTTGATTTTAATCCCAATTCCTGGTGCCACCACCAGAGCTGGGTGATCCCATCTCCCCCTGTTCCCTGGTAGATTTTCCTCCAGGAGAAGCTTGACTTCCAAAGCTGCTCCCAGGAGAACCCCAAGTCCCTCCTGCTCCACCTGCTGACCCTTCTCTCCCCTGCCCCCAGCAACACATGCCCTACTTCAGGAAGAGGATGGCCTGGGAGATCCTGCACAGGAAGCTCTTGTGATGCTGCAGCTCCAGCTTCTCCCAGAAGTGCCCACGTCTGCCCAGGCCTGGACCTGCCCAGGGCTTCTCCAAGACCCAGCAAACCAACTCTCCAATTATTTTGATATCAAACCCCCCCACGGACCAAGGAACCAGAATCTTCAGGAGCACATTTGCCTTTTTTTTAATGGGGTTTTCTCTCTGTTTTTTGGGTTGTTTTTGTTGGATTCCAAGACCTTTTGGTTTCTCCCAAGCAATTCCAGGTGCTGAGACTGGAGGGGGCAGCTCTGACCAGCCCAGGAGCTTGTGTCTCTCTTTTCTCTTTTTGCCTCTTTGGGCCAGTTTGGAGCTGCTGGTTTCACTGGGGGGGGAAATGGGAGGAGGCTGAATTGGGGATGGGGGGAGGTTTTGGATGTTTCCTGCTCCAAATGAAGTGGGTTTTTTGCCCCTTTTTTTGGGGTGGTTGGAGGGTTTTGATTTAGGGGGAACATTTTTTTTTTATGCCCTTTATTGTCTTCTCTGGCCTCACAACCAGCATTTCTGCCCCCTTTTTGCCCCCCCCAGCCCAAAAGCCCTACCTCACCCAACCCTAAATCTACCACAACCTTGGGGGCTTCAGAGACCCCCCAAAAAAAAAAACCCCACCCCCAATTTGGCATCTAGGGGGTCCCAGCAATTCCCTTCTTGCTCCACTTCCCCTTTCCCAGCCTCAATTTCCTTTCCCAAAGGATTTTTCTCCCCCTTTTTCACCATCAACTCTTGCCAGAAACTTCACACCCTGGAATTGTTTGATATGTGAGTTTTTGATTGTTAATTCTCAATTTTTCTGACAAAGAACAAAACCTGAGGGATGGTTTTGGGAGGGTTTTTCCCTCATTTTTCCCCCCCTTTTTTTGTTGTTTGGGGGTTTTTTTTATATATAAAAAAACAAGTTGCTGGAAGAAAAGATCTTTCCTCCTCCTCCCTGATCTTTTTTTGCACAGACAAAAGTTCAAGGAAGGGGCCAAATCCAAAAGTGCTTCCAAAAAACCACCTAAAATACCCTGGGGAGGGGAAAAAATACCCCCCTGAGGGGAAAAAATACCCCCCTGGGTGGGGGAGAAAAGAACTAAAATCCTCCCCCCTCAAAATAAATATTGGGGGGATCTGAACATTTATTTTCTTGCTTTTTTTCCCTCCTCTTGAACTTTTCAACTGGTTTAATTTTAATTTATTCTCAGGTGGGAGGGATTTTTTTTTTTTCTGAGTTTCTTTCCCCCCCTTTTTTTTCCCCTCCTGTAGATAAAAAAAAAAACCCTTTTTGAGTCCAAAGTTGGAAAGAATTTTGTCCCTTTTTTTCTATATTTTTGGGGTTTTTTGCCTCCAGAAAAGGTAGGGAGTTTTTATGGTGTTTTTTCCCCTCTCCCTGGGAGCAGCAGTTTTGTATCAAATGGTCCCTTCTCAGCCCAAGTTGTCTCTGGAGGTTGGTTTGTGTCCCCCCCCTGGTGTGTTTGGTACCAACCTCATTTCTTACCTGTTTTTTGTACCTTTTGCTGCAAGGAAAGAGCTGAGGGGAAAATAAAGTGATGGGAGTTTTGGCTGGTGTGTCTGGTGGGGTTGGATGGAGGTTGGGGGGGCTTCCAAAAAACCACCTAAAATACCCTGGGGAGGGGAAAAAATACCCCCCTGAGGGGAAAAAATACCCCCCTGGGTGGGGGAGAAAAGAACTAAAATCCTCCCCCCTCAAAATAAATATTGGGGGGATCTGAAAATTTATTTTCTTGCTTTTTTTCCCTCCTCTTGAACTTTTCAACTGGTTTAATTTTAATTTATTCTCAGGTGGGAGGGATTTTTTTTTTTTCTGAGTTTCTTTCCCCCCCTTTTTTTTCCCCTCCTGTAGATAAAAAAAAAATCCCTTTTTGAGTCCAAAGTTGGAAAGAATTTTGTCCCTTTTTTTCTATATTTTTGGGGTTTTTTGCCTCCAGAAAAGGTAGGGAGTTTTTATGGTGTTTTTTCCCCTCTCCCTGGGAGCAGCAGTTTTGTATCAAATGGTCCCTTCTCAGCCCAAGTTGTCTCTGGAGGTTGGTTTGTGTCCCCCCCCTGGTGTGTTTGGTACCAACCTCATTTCTTACCTGTTTTTTGTACCTTTTGCTGCAAGGAAAGAGCTGAGGGGAAAATAAAGTGATGGGAGTTTTGGCTGGTGTGTCTGGTGGGGTTGGAGGGAGGTTGGGGGGGTTGGAGGGAGGTTG